TCCTTTCCTTACCTCCTCTCTCTCTCTCTCTCGCTCTCTCTCTCTCTCTATCATTCATCATGAATGAAATTTCGTAATTCCATGTCTGAGAAATCTTACGTTTCGTAGAGAACGAAAATGTTTTATGGTTTCAATTTGGATTTCTAGTTAGGTATTTTTTAATGCTGTTACAAAAAGAATTGGATTAAGAATTTCTGAGAAAATTTTCAATCAGAGATTTGTAATTCAAATATGATTTGAAAAAATATATCGTGGGTTTCTATTCTCATTTTTTTTTTTAATACACTTTAAATAAAGCAATTTTATAAAATGTTAGTTTTAAAAAAATTCAACGTGAAAATAAAAATTCCATAATATTAATCTCCAAAATATTAAAAAGAAAAAAGTTAAATGAAAAATTAAAAAAAAATTTAAAGATAATAAAAATATTTGAAAAATATGTATGAATATAAGAAATTGTAAAAGTTACTGAAAGAAAAAATAAAGAAAAAAAGATGTTGGCAAGCGTAAAAGAGAAAGGAAGTAAAAGTGCCCTTTTGTTATCAGCAGGTCTGGTGTAACTGAAAGCAAAGAGAAGCAAAACGTGGCGGATTCGGTGACCCCTCGGCTGTGACCAGAGGCGCACAGAGAATTAGGGCAAGGAAATGCGTGAATATAAAATAGTAGTGTTGGGCAGTGGAGGTGTAGGCAAGTCCGCCCTCACTGTCCAGTTCGTACAAGGAATCTTCGTCGAGAAGTACGATCCGACGATCGAGGACAGTTACCGCAAACAGGTCGAGGTCGACGGTCAACAATGTATGTTAGAAATCCTAGACACAGCCGGAACGGTGAGTTTTCTACCATATTCCTCACACTATTATTTCAGCCATTGTTTCATCCATAAAAACGCTATTAAAGAATGGTATAATTTAATTAATTATATTATACAATGGAATTATATATAAAGATTTATTTCTTTGAAATTTCTTTTAAAACAGTTTTTGTTAATTTAATTTTATTATCGATTAATGTATTAAATTTTATATGTAATAAAATAAAATATAAATAATAAATTCTAAATAATAACTTTTTTTTTTTGCTATGTAAGCAGACAACAATTTTATTATATTAAACATTATATATTTTATATAAAATAATTTTTAAAACCATGATATTTTAATACATTATTAGAAAACATCTTAAGAAAAACAATATCTTGGATGAAATTATAATCCTCTTCAAAATAGCAAGTAATCCAAAAGAAACTTCAATTCATTCAATTAAATTTCTAAAATTAATGGTCTTTGTTTATTAAAAAAAAATCATTTAGTTTAAGTTGAGAAAAGATTGTATATATTCTCTATGATCATGATCATTAACATCTCTCTATCGCTTTTCACAGGAACAATTCACAGCCATGAGGGACCTTTATATGAAAAATGGCCAGGGATTTGTGTTAGTATATTCGATAACGGCGCAATCGACGTTCAACGACTTGCAAGACCTCAGGGAGCAGATTCTACGGGTGAAGGACACAGATGACGTGCCTATGGTGCTGGTGGGCAACAAGTGTGACTTGGAAGATGAGAGGGTAGTGGGCAAAGACCAGGGCGTCAATCTTGCCCGGCAATTTAATTGCGCGTTCATGGAGACTTCTGCCAAAGCCAAAATTAATGTTAACGATGTGAGTAGTAGATGGTCATTCTCTGTACCAATCATCTTTTTGTCCCTTCCCTTGTTGGAGTTACAGATAACATTATACTAATACTCTAGAGCCATTGTTCCTTAAGAGAAACAAATGCAAAATTTATCTAGTTAATTCTGATATAAATTCCGTTATAATTGTATTGGATAATTATAAAGAAATTATAATTGTAATTAATTTCGAAATTTTATAATGTATAATAAGGGGAAAAACTCATAAAATATTGATATAATGGAGATTTTATTTCATTTTATATTAACGAATTTATAAAGAATGTAGTAAGCTAATAAGACACATAATTCTTAAAAATATTTAATTAATTGTTCAGTTTCTTCACTATATAATTAATGTGTCATGATTTTCATTTATATTCTTCTATATGATTGAAAAAGATAAAGCCAAATTAACTTATATTATTTTTATTATTTTCTATTATAATGGTATAAGTTTGAAACAATAATTATGGGAATTTTCATATCTTTTTCTCAAGAAGAATTTATCTAATATTTTTAATAAGTTTGTAACAAAATTATATAAAGTAATATGAAAATTATATAAAAAGGATAATTCATTTCCAACAAAATTTTTTTATGTATTTAACAAAAGAATAATTTTCTGACATAAATAAAGAAAATTTTAAATTATTTTTGTTAAATATTTTAAATTGTTTATGATTCATATATTATAGAACTCATTAATGTTGTAGATAAGAACTAAGTAGAATTGAATGCAATTCAGAGACATGTATGTTAAATTTTTTTAGAATCTTTAAAGTTCTAGAAAAAAAAAAAAAATTTACAAAGTAACAGTAGTTGTCTGAACAGAGGTGTCTGAGAGAACTATTGTTGATTTTTAATTAATACTATGTGTAGGAGTTCAAGACCGTTAGAAAGGTTGAGATATTCTAATTAAATGTGGGAATGTAATAGTTTAAGTGTGGGAATATGATTCACATACCATTTTCTAAACTGTATATAAAACAATCCTTGAAAAATAAAAGAAAAAACTAAAAATTATGAGAATCATTTAAATTTTGTCTTAGAAATTATATATAAAATTATTTTAAAATCATTTCATTAATAAATTAATCCTCAAACTTTTGGTTCTCCTTGGAATTCTGAAATATATAATTTTATTTATTATAAATGCAAGAAAAAAAAAGATTAACAATTAAAAAGAAAGTAAATTCGAAATTAAATAAATAATTTTTTAAAGAGATTAATTAAATCTTCATAGAATATTTGAAATAAATTTTTATTTACATTTGTATCTGCAATTTGAAATTTGAAAACAGAATTCAATACAGAATTTCTTTATATCTTTCACACACACATTTGAAGCATTTTCATTTTATTCTATTATCAATTACATATGACATTGATTTAATATGAATAAATTATTTTCAGAAATGGTAACTTTTTGTACTATCATAGCTAAAATAAAGACTAGAGTTTTTATCTCATCATTAGATAGAAAAAACATAAATAGTACATAAACAATACTTTCTGAAATAATTTATTTTATAAATTCTATTTGTACATTTGTTGTGCAAGTTCATTCTTATGCATAAAATCTAAATCTTTTTGAGTTTGTTGAATTATTATAGGAATTTTTTTTGTTCACATTCATATCTTATTAAACAATCAATTACTTTCCTTTTAATAAATCATAATAATATTATATAGTCAAGTATTTAAAATTGAATATAATAGCATTCAATCATTCTCAATATTGGATTAATGTTAAAAAAAAAATCTATTATTATAATTACTATAATTATTAGCAAAATAGAATAAAATTTTATTATAGTAATTTAAAGTCATTCATGATAATTTATACCAATCAATAAATACTTATTTTACAGATTTTCTATGACCTGGTACGACAAATAAACAAAAAATCGCCAGAGAAGAAGATGAAGCAGAAAAAGAAATCGCTGTGCCTACTTCTGTAAGGTAGATCTAGCAGAAGCCTGTACTCTCCTGCATGAATAAATTCACAGAAAAAGGGAATAAATTAACTAATAACCAGCAACAAGTCCGGATACAACCAACGGATGATACAGGGGTTCAGGTGACCACGGAGAAAACTAAAGCTAGCTGACAAGGAGGGGGCTGACGGAATTATAAATAAATAGACGAAAAAAAGGAAGATACATACAAGAGGAAGTCGTAGAATATCAAGGAGAGGGGGGAAAAATATATATATATATATTCTATATATATATATATATATATATAGAAGATAGAAGATGAACAATAGAGGAG